GGAGGTTCTGGCTATATTTAGTTGCAAGAGGCTGGTGATATCCAACTTTCTAGTAGAGAAGAAGCTGTAAAAGATACTTTTCAGGATTTCAGAGGCAGGAAAAACTGTTTGCTTCCAATATACTCATCCTACATATTTGTAAATATAGCAAATATTACAAATCTTTCTGAGTAAAAACCCAACTGGCTGAATTCCTACATCTTGTTAGACAGTGGTTTGTTTAAATATGGCTTGTATATAGTATGCTAGTCTAATACTAGTGGTGTAGCAGAAATCTCCACCTGGAAATCCAATGTACACAGAAAACTTTCAGGTAGGATACATATGACAAATAGGTATAATAATTAATCTTTTTAATAATTCACTTTCAGACTTTGGTTTGTAACATGAACTTCATTAACAGTTAACAAATTGCTCAGAGAGTAGCCTCAGTTGGCATATGAGATTGAACAAGGTGGGACTGTTCATAAGTAGTTAACAATTAAACTAATATCCTGCAGTGGAATGCAGCCATGTTCTTTCAAGTAGCTATGTTCTTCTTGAAGTGCTGTCCTGCTAACAGGAATATTCTCAAAGCCAGAGCAGCGGCCTCCAAACTTTTGGGCACCAGGGACTGGTCCTATGGAGAGAGGTTTTTCCACGGACTAGAGGGGGTGTAGTTTCGCATGCTGCCTGCATCCTGCAGATGGGGCTTTGCTTGTTTGCACAGCCTGGTTTCTGGCATGCTGCGGCCTGGCGCCAATCCATGGACCAGGGGTTTGTGACCCCTGAAGATAAGGCAAGTTGCACCAACTAGTTAGTACAATTAGGCTAGAGTGCTTCGTGAAAACTCCTAACTGGCACAAATTAAGGCTCCTTAGATGGTTAGGCATAGCTCTAACATCTCTAGCATGCATATATTTAAGGATCAGAGGCAGATGTAGGGTGTTTTCCACATTGCAACTCTGCTTTGTGGTCTGTGAACCTCTGGGGAGGCTGTGATGTCATCACAGGGAGTCCACAAAAGCTTGAAGAAATGTTATGACTGAAATCTTGAGTTAAGTCTTGGTGGCCATGGTTTGTGGCCACAAAAGGTATCTAAAGGGGTCCGTGGTGAAGAAAACGTTAAAAACCACTATCCTAATGTATCATGCACATATGACAGAGTGTGCATAGCTAGATTAATACACACTATACCCGTGCCTTGATTTGTTTTAATCATAGTTCATTGACCACGCCACAAAGGATGTCTTTTACATTAAACTGTGGTTTTCTTAACTACAGTTTATTGAACAAATGCAACTGGCTGGGTTCTCATTTTGCAATCCATTGTATAAAAGCATGATGACTGGCTTCACATATTAATGAAATATGTGACTCCAGTCTATGCATGAATGAGTTAGGGCTAGTGGTTCAGGTTCAGATTTTTGTAGCCCAGCATGGAAGAAATGTGAATTTTGTAGGTGAATGAGAAAAAAAAATGTCTTGATATGATTTAGAGATGGATTACTGGCTAATTACTGCCTCATCTGCCAATCTTCTATCTGGGAAAGTGTGGCTTAATGTACCTTAAGCAAGAATTTTGCCAAGGAAACTGGGGGGAGGGGAAAGGAAGTCTGATTTGACTTCTTCTGGAAAGATTCATGCATTATATAGACTTCTTTAATACCTCATGGATAATTTAACCATGGGTAAGCTTCATTGTTCCATCACATTCAGTACTATCTGTATTCACTGTTAGGAGCACTCTAGGTCACGGGTGTCAAACTGGAGGTCAGTGGGCTGGATATGTCACGTGCAGCCTACCACAGCTCTGTGAAGGGAAAAAAGTCACAAAATGTGATGGCAACATCACGTGATGACATGAGTTTGTCACCCGTGCTTTAGGTGTTTAGGTAAATTTACTGGCAGGATGACCTTCCTGTTACCAATGCGGGGTTTTTTCAGCAGATATAGCCTCAGTGTGCCCAGAGGAAGAAATACCTGCCTCTACCTAGGATTGAACTCACAGCCTCCTGATTGTGACGCGAGAGCTCCATCTCCAGGCCACAGCACCATCTTTCATGAATGTTGCCCATTAATTTTCAGCTACTCCCATCAATGAAAACATAAGATTTTTGGGAGGAATGCAATCAGATTGGTTTTAATTCTGAAGGAAACATACACTGCTCAAAATATATTTCAGATAATGATATCAAATGACCAGTCCTAAAAGATCTTGAGGCTATATCTCAGGGATCTTCAAACTTGGCAAATTTAAGACTTGTAGACTTCAACTCCCAGAATTCCTGAGCTAACATCACAGGAGGAGGAATTCTGGGAGTTGAAGTCCACAAGTCTTAAAGCTGTCAAGCTTGAAGACCCCTACTATATATATTCCCATAAATTCATGGGACTTCTTTGAGTCTTCTTGGTATAGTTTGCTTCCAATAATTTTACTGACATCTAGTGGTAACACTTGCAGAAACTCTAAGAAATTATTAATATAAAATTAGACTTTCATTTAAGGCAAGTCATGGTTAAAAATGAATAAAATGAAAAAACAAGCTTTGCTGGCTGGAGGATTCTGGGAGTTGAAGTCCACAAGTCTAAAAGTTGCCAAGTTTGGGGACCCCTGGGCTATACAGACTTCTGCTTGAGCAGGAGTTGTTGGATTTCACCAGAAGACTTCCAAGGTTCTATCCGGTTCTATTCTGATTGATTGAGTGAGTGAGTGAGTGAAAAAAAATCCCACAAGAATTCTTAAATCTTTGCTGCCATCTGAAGATCATCTGGATTTTTACACTTCAGATCTGGCTGTCCTAATTTATAAATTCTTCAGTTCCATCTTCTAGCAATAAAAAAAGTTCGCTCTCCATATGAAAAAGCATTTGCAAAAATGGCATCCAGCTGTTAATAAGGACCATGTAAACAATGTGAAGTTCCCCCAGCCCAATTCATTGGCAGCACAAAACTCTTTCTGTTCTGTCTCCAGTGCATTATTTTAATTGTATTACAGGTAGTCCTCAATTTACGACCACAGTTGAGCTCCACATTTTTGTTGTTAAGCAAGGTAATGGTTAAGTGAATTTTGCTCCATTTTACAACCTTTCTTGACCCAGTTGTTAAGTGATCACTGCAGTTGTTAATTTAGTAACAGTGGAGTGAATCTGGCTTCCCTGATGATTGCTTGTCAGAAGGTTGCAACAGGTGAACGCGTGACCCCAGGACACTGCAACCATCATAAATATGAACCAGTTGTCATACATCTGAATCACATGGTCATGGGGATGCTGCAACAGTCATAAGTGAGAAAAACAGTCATAAAACATGCCATTGTCACTTCAAATGATCCCTAAATGAAACTGTTGTAAGTTGAGGAGTAACTGTGCTTTGCCTGAAATGGATGGCTTTTCACTTCAAAGTAATATCTCTGTATTGATTGACCGGTTTCCATAGAGAGGGCCCAATTGATTTCCAGAGAGCATGAATATTCCTTTATTGCCTCCCTGACTATGATCAAGCATATAATTTACAATATAGGCAGAAAAAATAAATCAAGAATTCATACAAGAGTAGATCCAATGTCTTGTTTTGCTTAGAGCAGGGGTGTCAAACTCACAGCCCCTGGGCCAGATGCATCCAACGCTGGCCACACTGACCTCTGTTTTAGCAAAGGGGGGAAAAGTCGCGATATGTCACGTGACAATGTGATGCCACAAGTTTGACACCCCTAGCTTAGAGCATAGCTGGCTGGGGGATTCTGGGAATGAAGTCTACCTGTTGTAAAGTTGCCAAAGTTGGGAAAAACTGATTTGGAGAATTGTAGGTGTATCTCTATTCTGTTTTTATTCTCTTTTTAACTGCTTAACATATGAGATGGGGAGGCCACGCAAAACAAATAAACTTATTAACTAGAATATCCATATAATCTTTCAGCTTGTCTTATTTTGCTAAAGCTGGAAGGTGATACTTTTGTTTGAACACACTTCATTTTTCACATTTCTGTATGGCTTATCTTCCTCAAAGAGTAAGGCATTAGTTAGGGTGTCAGTTAGGTAAAGCAGGAATTATAGTGCTATGTTTTACCAAATAGACAACATGGTCTCTATCATTTCTTGGTAACAGGAATAGAATAGCTAATCTAACAACACCCATCCACAGTGGGCTAATTTGCAGATAGGGCAGCCTTTTCATATAATATAGTAAAGTGGCTACTTCAATGGTTTTTTTAATAGAGATAGCAGAGGTGGTATTCAGCAGGTTCTGACCAGTTCTGGAGAACCAGTAGCAGAAATTTTGAGTAGTTCAGAGAACCAGCAAATACCATCTCTGACTGGCTCCGCCCCCATCTATTCTCTGCCTCCTGAGTTCCAGCTGATCGGCTGGGACTCCTTTTGTTGCCCTGCATAGGAGAATGGAGCTGGAAAGCAGATTAGTGGGATGGGGTGGGAATGGAGATTTTACAGTATCCTTCCCCTGCCACGCCCACCAAGCTACACCATACCCACCAAGCCACACCATGCCCACCAAGCCATGCCCACAGAACTGATAGTAAACATTTTTGAATTCCACCACTGAGATGTAGGAACTGTTTGAATGATGCAGCCCTTCTTGGTGGAAGGGTAAGTATTGCTTTTGGCTAGCCAGCAGTGCGCCAAAGGAATTCATTGACCTCAATCAGACTTGGATGGTGACAGAGAGCACTGAAAGAACCTGATGCTCTTTTACCCCTTGATCATGTACAAAGATATGGGAATAATAAGAAATAATAGAGCTTCAAGTGAGCTGGTCAGGACTACAGTGTAAATTTCCAACCTTGGCTACTTTAAGACTTGTGGCCTTCATCTCCTAGAATTCCCCATTCCTCATCATGGCAGACTGAGAAATTCTGGAAGCTGAAGTCCACAAAGTAGCCAAGGTTGGTCTAAATTGTGAAATTTTCACTAGGATGATGGCCAAGAAGTATAACTCCTTGGTAGGACTATTCCCCCCCGCCCCAAATACCTGAATCTTTGTTCAGGAAGATGTAGACATCCTCTTTATTGTCTCATCGAAGGTTTTCTGAAATCAGAGGGCTTTTTAAACCCAGCAGCATTCCTGGAAAACTTATCTGATGCCTGGATGTTAGGTATTTGATACAAGGGAGACCTTTGATTTTCCTCGTAGTTGTCCAATCTCTTTTTGATGACCTCATTAATTAAGCCTGCAAAAGTAATTACCTTAAGTTAACATTTTACCTGGGTAATCTCTTAACTCATAAAAATAGTTTTGAAATTGTATTTTGTTTCATCAACATAGACTCAGGATACACATCATTAAGGAAGGCAATAGAACTGAATAAAAAAAAAAGACAAGGACATAATTTGAATGCAACAAGGACAGCAGGTTAATGCCGAAATGTATAATAGATAAATGTATATCTACAAAGAAGTAGATAGATGGAAACTAAAGTTGCTGCTGTTGCATCTTTGGGTTCTTTTGTGTTTTCTGAGCAGCTTTACAATAAAGATGTGTAGAATATCAGGCAAGGAACTCCTTGGAGTTTCACATCACCATTTTCAATCTAGAGGTAATATAACATAAGCAGGCAAGAAACCAAAAACTTTACCCCAAACATGCCAACCTCTTGGTCTTTAGATCTTTACAGCCAGTTGCACTATGACATGGTTGTGTGCTACTGCAAGATTACTAAAAATTCACAAGTAAACTCTCTTCTATTTCAGATGGAAGATTATTAAGCGGTATGCCACAGATTAAATGTAGAAAAAGAGAGAGAGAGAGAGAGAGAGAAGAGAGGGAGAGGGAGGGGGGAGGAGAGAGGGAGGGAGAGGAAAGAGAGAGAGGAGAGAGAGAGAGAGGAGAGAGGGAGGGAGGAGAGAGAGAGGAGAGAGAGGAGAGAGAGAGAGGAAGGGAGAGGAGAGAGGAGAGAGAGAGGAGAGAGAGAGGAAGGGAGGGAGAGGGAGAGAAAGAAAGGAGAGAGAGAGAGGGAGAGAGAATATGCCCCAAATGAAAACTACAAAAATTAAACCATGCAGTTTTTTCCAAATGAAATGCAGTTTTGTCCAACTCAAGGCAGTTACTATGGAGACCGTATGTGTTTTTAATACTTTCCCTTTTCTGTCTTATTAAATGCATGACAAAAATATTGGATGGGTTTGTGGAAGCTACGACCAAGGCTCTTGGTGGTCCACACAATTGTACACTCCTGCATTAAAGCTATCGTTGAGCTCTGGCCGTTATAACTAGTGTCCTTTCCTCTGATTTTTGAATGATTCAGATATTCAAAATGTTAATTGCTTGGGCACCAGAGGCGGTATTCAGCAGGTTTTGACCAGTTCTAGAGAACCGGTAGGGAAATTTTGAATAATTCAGAGAACTGGCAAATATCACCTCTGACTGGGAGATTTCACAGTATCCTTACCCTGCCACACCCACCAAGCCATGCCTACAGAACCGATAGTACAAAAATTTTGAATCCCACCACTGTTGCGCATCATATTGATTTGGCTATTCTCTGAGCAGCAGGAGAGAATCCTGGGTAGCCAGAGCATTTTGGCATACTTACAATCTGTCATTATTCTTCCTAGAAGCTTCTTCTGCAGTCGAAGTTCTACATGGCCCATCACAAATGGAAGGAATCCTTTCTCAATATCTATGCAAAGCACCAAAGTAAAACAAGCATTATACAGTACTGTGATTCTTAAATAGGTAGAAAACTCCCATGTCCATTAAAGTACAATGGCTGATTCTTTAGAAATTGTAATAAATAAGACGATTACTTATCAGGTTGGCATTTTTTGTACATTATTGAGATAATTTTATGTGTGAAGCAAAGTGAGAAAAAAATGAAACAGCATGATTCTAGATGTACGTACTTAGTGATATATTCATTCTGTTCCATTAACTTTCTTCCCAAATATGTAAGAACTTTTCTCAGGTTAGCTACCTATGCTGTACTATTTCTTTATTTCCTTTTGCATTTTATATATGTACTATCTTTTTTTTATAATTAGAAAAATTTAATGTTTTAAGTAACTTTTAATCTATTCAGAGAATTGACTACTAGTGGATTAAAAGTTTAATAGAACGGCTACTTACTACATAATATTTTAAAAATAGGTACAAGAATCACTGTGTGTTTTTGTATTTATCAGCATTATCCTTTATTCAGAAAAATATTTCTAACTGTAAAATACTAAGGATTCTTACTCTGAAAAAAAGTGTTAAGCTTGAAAATAGTACTAATTCACAATATCGAGGAGGAGGACATGGTTTTTTGAAGTATGCCCTGTGGAACTCAAGAGTATTCTGTATGGAACTAACATGGGATTCTGTATGGAACTCTTGACAGAATCCCACAAGAAACTAATGGTAATGGACATAGATTTTTCTATTACTAGAACTTTGACTCTCAATCAGGGGTTTCATTGTATTATTACTATTATTGTTGTTGTTGTTGTTATTCATTAAACATGAAACTCAGTCAATTGAACATTTAAAAATTATCACAAATATCATTGACTGGTGCTGATGGTTGATACAGGTTGCTGCCAGCATCCTAGATATCAACCAAGTATCTTCTTAAAATGTACTACTACTGCTACTACTTGCACAGCCAGATGTTAAGATTGGGTTTGGCATTTTTGTCTACTATCGAGTCCTTTCCAAGGACCTGGGACAGGCAAATCTGGATGTTTGATGGTGTTACAGATATTGTCCCAGGATGGAAGCTGTTCCAAGTAAAGCTACCTTCTGCAATTGACTGGCAAATTTGTCAATGCTAATAATGTTCAAGTGGTGCTCCAGTTATTTTGGGACTGAACCCAAGGCTCCTTTTACTATTGGTGCTACCCTTGCTTGCTTTTGCCATAGTTGTATCATCATCATCATCATCATCAGGTATCATGGCCAGGAAACATTAAAACCCTTGCTTTTATAGGATAATCCAGTACTCTAGCTGGGTCCTGGTCCCACCTGCTTGGCCTAGGATATTTTCTATCTCATAATAGTTTGTGATTCCTCTCTGAATGTTCTGGGAAACCAATAGCTTTTTGTTAGTTTGTTTTTTCCTTTCCTTTTCCTTTTCCTTTTCCTTTTCCTTTTCCTTTTCCTTTCCTTTCCTTCCCTTTTTTAGTATGCAAAAGCAACAATAGGCAACAATACAGTGGAGACTTTAGGATTAATTATTAAATTTAAGACAGAAACCTTTAGCATATAATAAATGTTTATTGATACCACACTCATCTTTAAATCCAAGTAACCTTATGCTTATCAACTTGAATGTTTCAGAAATTGCAGTTAATATTGATGCAAATATTTTCATTTCTAATGGTTTAATTGCCTTTAAAATAATACTACCCCTTTAGTCAACATTGTGTAAATATCACTGTTGATTGATTATGTGCCATCAAGTTGTTTGTGATCCTAAGGACCACATAGATAGATTTCCTCCATTGCAATCTATCCCTAGCTAAATACCACTGTCCACAATAACAATAAAAAGAAAGGTTTGGGATCAAGCAACATGTACTTTTCCCCATCTGAATTTGCTCGCTGCTTAAAAATAAATGACTAAGGCTCATAGTATTGTACAGATTATCCTTCTCTAGATATTAGGCAAGATGATTAATGGAGCTTAAAGCTCCTTTCAGCTTTGGCTGCTGCTGTTTTTACTGTAGTCTAAGTATCAGCTTAAGACACTTCTACTTTCTCAATAGAGCTTAACCATCAAAGTTCTTGCATAATTATATTACTTGCCAGTTTAAGCTACTCATTTAATTCTTACTGTAGGGGGTTTTCTTTTAATCTGATGTTATATAGACTTTATCACGGTTGATTTTTTTTAAAAAAACCTGCACAAGATATTAAAAAGCAGTCATACCTGAACTTATCAAGCAAACACCACATGCAATTTTGTTAGTCACCTTGAGAATTTTTAAAAAATGTAAAATAAGTAAAAAAAAAATACTTATCAAGCAAAACAGGAACAAGAGAAATATTGTCCTAGCTAAGCCTTTTAAAATATTCTACACATTTGGGCTTGGCACATTTTGGGGGCCAAGAGTTATCACATAGGATGATTTAAGAGATTATAGATATGGATTTTAAACATTTATTTCCAGTATGAATGACACTTACCACTTTGTATTTCATCATAGAAAAATCCTTTATTTCGAAGGCTAATAAAAACTGAAGGAATCAGATCTGCCAGATATCGGATAGAAAATGCGTGGGCTGCCACTTTCTCAGCCACCACTTTTGCCTTTGTTTGTATTTCATACTGCATTGCCATGCGACGTTCCTTTAAATAATCATCAATTTTTCTATATGACTTTTAGTACATAATATATAAAACATGTAGATTTTCCCATTTCCCCTTATCTATAAGTATTATAGATACTTATATCAATTCATTGATTCCAGAAAAAAATAATAATAATTACCTTTGATCATTGCATTTTGATTGTCTTGTTAACGTTTGTATGGATCCAATTGCAAGTAATTTCTCAGACTGCTTTCACAAGTTAAGAAGGGCAAAGGTCTAACAAATATATAGCTGGGTTACCTGTCCCAAGGAACCTGCCTATTTTCTCAGGAGCTACAGGACCAAACTCCTTCCAGGTAACCAAGCAAAATTGTACTCCTGTCACCTGGACTCAATCTGTCTAATTGGAATTAAATTCCAAGTGAATATCAGCAACATTGTTTGCTAGGTAATTGGCCTATTTTAAGAATATGCTGTATGGATAAAGCCATAAAAATCTATTTTTAACCCTGAAGGCAGGACAAGAAGCAATGGATGGAAATTAATCAAGGAGAGAACTAAATAAGAAATAAAGAGAAATTTCTTGGCAGTTGGAACAATTAATCAGTGGAATGACTTGCCTTCAGAAGCTGTGGGTGCTCCAATACTGGAAGTTTTTAAGAAGAGACTGGACAGCCACCTCTTGTCTGAAATGGTCTAGGGCAGTGATGGTGAACCTTTTGTTGTGGTGTGCCAAAAGTGTGTGTGCCGGCACCCACAATGCAATGCGTCCCACCCTGCACATGCGCACGCAACACCCCCGCCCAGCCCTCTTACCTGCACTGCAAATGTGTGCACCTCCCAGCTGATTTCCGGGCCATTTGAGGCTGTTTTTGCCCTCCTGGAGGTTTGAGGGAAGCCTCTGCAGCCTTGGGAAGCCAAAAAATGGGCCTTCTGGAAATACCGGAAGTGACAATTTTCAGCCTCTGGAGGGCCTCTGGAGCCCGGGGAAGGCTGTTTTCGCCCTTGAGAGCCTCACTTCCAGTATTTCCGAAAGGCCTGTTTTTTGGCCTCCTGAGGCTGCAGAGACTTCCCTCGAGCCTCCGGGAGGGCAAAAACAGCCTCAAATAGGCCAAAAATCAGCTGGGAGGCACGTGCATGCGCAGTGCAGATAAGTTTGGCTGGGGCTCATGTGCCCACACAAATGGCCCTGCGTGCCACCTGTGGCACCCATGCCATAGGTTCGCCATCACGGGTCTAGGGTTTGGTGCCTGAGCAGGGGATTGGACTAGGAGACAAGGTCTCTCCAACTCTGTTACTCTGTTACGTGCCGTGTCCTTCATATTTGTGTTTAACAGTATCAGTTTGTATTACTTGACTTGCTATAAAAGAAGCTGTCCTTTTGAGATCATATCTAATTTAAATTATTTGTAACTTCAAAACTTGACTGATTTGAAACTAAGTACATAAGAATCGCTAACTTTTAGAGTGGGATGAAAACATTTTGATGCACAAGGCAAAGGACAAGGTGGTACCCAACCTAAATTCCTTGCTTAAAAATTGCTAGAGCAAAATACATGAGCATCAAACTAAACCACTAAGAAATGGTTTCCACAACAATTCTACCTTCTCCTCTTTGTGTCGCCGCTCATTTTCTTCGAGGCGTTGCACTTCAGCCAACTCTGCATTGTGCAATTCCAGATAGGCATATTGGTGTGCCCAAAGATTTCTAAGATCCTCTTCTTCCATGACTTCAAGCAAAGCTTGTTCCAAGGTTTTCCCTACCAACACCTCAAGCATTGGTTTAACTTCAATGTCAAAGTCAAAGAGCTGAGGGTTTAAAAAAAAAGAGCCAAATGAATGCTGTGCAATATCATTCCTATCATGACAAGAAACAAGAAAATATATTCTTCTGGTCAGGTCATAGACAAGCCTTTCATTGGTTAAAAGGAGACAATCATTCTTATAAAGAAGAATATTTGTAATTCAGGGTTGAAATGAAGGGTCCTTAGTCCTCGGTGAGCTTGATTGTTTCCTTGCAGATGTTTCATTATCTAATCTAGGTAACGTCATCAGTGCACCAAGTTCAGAAAGCATCAAAGACCTCCTCACAATCATTCTTACCAAGCTTACAGAATTGTTGAAAGGCTAGCTGGGCAATGGAAATCAGAGAAAGGCAATTAATTTGGTCTGTTCTTAAGGATCGCACTGGGATTCTCAAATGAAATCTATCAAGGTTATGAAAATTGAGCAGGTGAAAGGCGGATATGCCTTATCATGGGCCACTTTTTCCATTCACGAAGAGCATTAGGGTCAATAGGAGACATGGAAAAGGTAGAAATTGCTGTGATTGCTCAAGGGTCATTTTCCTTGAAAAGAAAGACCGGTGAAAAACACCTCCTTTCTCATTGCAGTGGCAGCAAATCTCTGGTAAGCCCAATTCTGTTTCCAGCCTCTTTGTTAGATGTTGTCTATTTCTTCATCCAGCTTCAATTGGCCTAGGATAAAAGGAGGAAACTTGTATCCTTCCAGATGTTCTGAGCTACAATTCTCCACTTCCCAAATTAGTGGTCGTGCTAATAGTAGAAATTTGAATCACCTCGACAAATGTAAATACATCCCTGCAGGTCCAGAGGCAAACAACTTTGACATGGATGGATGTCCTATGAGAAATACTTTCCTTTCGCTTGAATTCTGCCATAGCCCAGAGATCACGCCCTGCAGAAGATGTTTTATTATCATTCCTCACTCAGGAATTGCAGACTGGATAATACACCATTGTTATTTGTCTCTATTTCCCCTTTTAAACATTATTGTTGTCTTTGGGCAATCAATTCTAGCAAAGAGTGTGGGCACAATTAGGGCAGCTCCTTCAGTCCTTGTATCTGAGCATTCTCAGATGCTTTATATATGCTGAGAATGTAAACACAGTAAATGTTGTTAGGGAACAGGTGCAACAGTGATTTTTCTGGAGCATCTGCTAGATGCCTGGAGGTCATATGGTGCCACATGCTTCATTATCTAATCTTCTGCTTCATTTCCTTGCTTTACTGAATGATTGCTAGGGCCTTAGAGACAGGTCTTTATGGGCACATCATTGTCCCTCTCAAATTAGCTGATTCCCATTTTCTTGCAATCACCCCAGTTGAAAAAAAAAATCGAACTGGGGTTCAGAATATCTGATGTGGTGTTTCACAGTTCTCATATAGTATTGAATTTTAGGATGCCTGAAAGAACAGACTATTACAAAATGTTTTAACTTCTAAATCAGGGCTGTTAAACTCGTGGCCCGCAGGCCGGATGTTTCATGTGCTGGCCACGCCCAGGCCCGGTTTAGCAAATGGGAAAAAAAGTCACGATACATTTGATGATACCATGATGACCTGAGTTTGACACCCTTGTTCTAAAGCTTCTAAAATTAGGAATTTTTAAAGATGTGTTTGGTAAAAAAAACATTACCTGTTGAATTATCTAGAATAGTACTGAAATATTATTGGTACCTCTCCTTCTTCAATTTGTGTTGCTACATCAACTCCAGTCTTTTGTGGGATGAACACCGGGCTGGGTAGCCTTTTTATAAAAGCATCTGTTTGACACTCCATGTCAACTTCAATAATCCGATCTAAAATCTCTTCCAGGTACAATTCTGAAAAAATAAAACTCATGGTAGTCTGTCTTGAAAGATTTCATGTTCCTAGGTTCTATCTGTGGTTCCTAGAATAGCCACTGAAAAAATATAGACTTCTTTTTTATTTTACTTTATGCAGGTGTAGTTGTGTATTGCATTAAAAAAACACAAAATGATGGCTTTGATCATTCAGTCATGGTCACTATCTAGATATTTTTTTAAATTCCTCTTTCTTGTGAATATCCATCTTTTGCACATCCTTCTTGCCCAGAATATATGACAATATATGTACAGTATTGGCAGTACTGTTGACTGAAGTAATTTGTTGCTCTAAGGTGATTTGTTGTTCATTAAAAAACAAGTACTGAAACTATTAGCATGATTGTTAATATTGAAAAAAAAACAAGAACAAATAACACTGTATAGTGGATGTATCCTATAGTGCAGGGGTCTCCAACCTTTTGGACCTCAGGGACCACCAACCTCATTATTTTAAATCCCACGGACCAGAGAACCTGGGAAACCCCCCCAAAAAAAGTTTGCAGGAAAATTCCCCACCCTGTTTTCTCACTGATTGATCTTTTTTTATTTGGGTTCGCAGGATACTGTTTCCAGCTCCGTTCTCAGGGGGAGAGAGAGACAGACTTTTGGCTTCATGCAAGGAAAGCAGCAGAAGTAGCAGAAGTCTTTATTTCTCTCCCCCAAACTCCACCAGAAATGAGTCTTTGTGAGACTTGTCGCACCAGCGCAACCACTTGGAGAAGGATGCCTTGCAAGGTCCCAAAGACTCATTTCTGGTAGAGTTTTGGGGAGAGAAAGAAAGACTTTTGCTCTTTCCTTGTGTGCGACCAGAAGCAGAAGAAGAAAGAAGCAGAAGAAGCAACCTGGTGACCAGGCAAGTTCCCCCTTCCGCCCTTTCCCTCCTTCCTCACTACCTTGTGTTGTTTGCAATGCAAGGGACGCAAGCCTTGTGTTCCCGCAGGCCACGTGGGAGGCGCAGCCTTGTGTTCCTGCGCAGCCGGGATTAATTGCTTTGGGGGTGACATTTCTCTGTGGACCACCAGAATTTTCTCACGGACCAGCAGTGGTCCCCGGCCCATTGGTTGGTGACCACTGCTATAGTGAATATGTTTAGGATGTCATCTTGAAAATGATACGCAGTATGTTCAGTGCGGAGAATGTTAATAGGAAAGACAAAACCTTTAATTCAGATGGGCCTTGGAAGATGTTAGAATGGGATGTGTAATAGCATATACAGTACCCTAGCAACATGCTCTTTTGATAATGCCATGTGAAAAAATCATGAAAGTATAAAATGTAAGAAAAATCAAGAAAGTTGAAAAGAAAAAGGAAAATTCCTCCATGATCCACTGCCCATCATTTGGGTGGATATTTCTGCCTCACAGATTATCCTTCGTCTCAGGTCTAGAAGTCATTTGATAATTGGTTGATGCTGTCTGATGCTTTACCTGTCTGCACATCACTGCGATCTCCAACATCCTTCATTTCTGGTGCATGGACCTCATCCTCTTTCTTTTCTTGCTTCCGTTCAAGCATTTTCTTGTGAGCTTCATGTTGCTTCTTGATTTTAACAGGTTCAGGTTCAAGTTCTGGACTCTGGGAAGGAAGGAAGAAGAATTCTCTGCTATTTTACATGGTGTTCTTTCTTAATGTCTTATGTATAGCTGGGTTTTCATTCAAGAGATTGTGGGGGCATATACCGTGCTCCCATCTCCTATCTTCCCCCATAGCAACAACCCTCAGAAGTAGATTGGGTTGAGTGAGAGAGTGTCAAAGTCTCTTATGGTTGAGAGTAGACCTGAACCTTGATCTCCTTGCTCCTAATCCAGCTACATCACATTGAATCTCATTTGGAGAAAATGATTATTGTGTTGTGTTGCGTTGCGTTGTGATGCGTTGCATTACATTATGTTACGTTACGTTACATTATATATTATATTATATTTTTTTCCACAGACTTAAAATACAGTCCCCTTATAGTCCCCAAGAAACTCTTCAAACTGCTGGTAGTATCATTTTATTGTTTCCTTTTTACTCTCTTTGGTTGTTGTTATCTCCCTTTTTTGTGTATGAAAGCAACAGAAAAGCAGTTTACACAAATGTTATCCGATGCTGATAACATTTTTTCCAATTTTTCTCATAGGAGCTCAGGCAAGTCAGCTGATGACTTATTTTGCAATACAAATGTCCTAACTGTAATACCCCATTGCATAAACTTTCCATTAGCTATCCAATTTTGATTTCTTTTCTAAAATGTGTGCCTAAAGTCATGAACATGGTAATCATATGATCATGAAGGCTATTTCCCGTGGTGTGCCTTTATAGATTATTTATGAAGATATTGAAGAGTACTGGGCCTAAAACTGAACCTTAGGTACCCCAGTACTTTCTGCCCTCCATTTGACGATGAGGTTCCATTGAGGACTGCACATTGAATGTGGTTGGTCAGCCAGTTACAAATCCATTTGGTGGTGATGCTGTGTATTCCATATTTTTCTAGCTTACCAAGAAGTAGGCTGTGATCTATTTTGTCAAATGTCTTACTGAAATCTAAGTATAGTATGTTCATGGCATTTTTGCTGAGCTACTAATTTAGTCATTTTGTCCAAGAAAGAAATAAGATTTGTTTGGCATGATCTATTTTTGAAGAACCCATGTTGGCAACTGGTTATAATTTTATTTGTTTCTAGGTGTGTAATAAAGATGGATATTTATTTGTTTCTATATAATTTGATATTATTATAATGATTATATTTATTTGTTTCTAAGTATCTAAGAAAATTGGATATTTGAAGATGATAGCATTTCTTCAGTGATAAATCTATGCAAGAACATTACTCAATGAGAAGCACATGCGAATTAGGTACCACTACACCCCCATAAATAAGCTTATTTCACCAATAACACTTGCACATTTCCATAATTAAAAGAGATAAAAATATTTATAAGAAAAGGAACCTACCCAGGATAACAACTGCATAGCATATGTGTTTCCTCGAACCACTCTACGATCATACATGAGGTTCCCATAGTTAATTGGCCCTTCTCTGTAATTCATAAAATTAAGAAAGGAATATATCAATGTCTCCAAAATACTGTCAATAAGGGATTTATGAAAGAGCCACAAAAATATAGAATTTTGATTCCATAAATTTTATCAGGCTGTGTGATAGAGCTAAATGCTCTTATGAAATGGGAGGCATTTAAAAATGTAGAACGTAGAAGGGCTTTGTATCCATTCAATTTTAGATTGCCTACTTTGACTGTATCTCTTCCTGATCTCAGATGGCAGCTTTCTCTACATCTGGTTACTAGTACCTGATATTTTCAGAAAAAAACAGATGGAACAGTGATTTTGTGAAGCAGCTGCTCTAAACCAAGCTTTGGTATCTCTCAATGGAAATGAAGTGGACCTTGTGTTTTAGTGATGGTGGTGCTTCACTTGGTATTTTGCTTCCAAATAAAAAGATTATATTGGCACAACTCAATAGAATTATTAAACTGAGTAACTTTGCAACCTTGGGGCAGTGATGTTTATGACTGTGGAGGTAAAACCACAAATTTGTCTTGCTAGTAGCAGAAAAGGCAGAGAAACATTTCCTTTCAAGGAAGGCACTCACCTGTAATGCGCCATTAGGAGGCATTTGTTAAATGTAACATGAATAATATCTAGGTCAATAGAGCCCATTCTCCTTTCTTCAATTTGCAACCCACTGCCCCAAATGGTAGTTCCTCCCCCCTCAATAACTGAAAGATGTAAAGAAAATTATCCAGTATATAGTGCTGCTGTTATCTGGAATAAACATTTCAATGAAAGGACAGAATTTTGATAGTTTTATATACAGCCAAGAGCATGTTTAACAGGATAGATTTAATGCTCATGTGAATGCAGGGTTAGAGTTTGAAAACTCTAATAGGCAAGGCAGGGGGGAAAAAGAAGAAAAAGAATATACACTGCTCAAAAAAATAAAGGGAACACAAAAATAAGACATCCTAGTTCTGAATTAATGAAATATTATTACAAAATATTATTAAATACTTTGTTCATTACAAAGCTGAATGTGCTGACAACAAAATCACACAAAAATTATCAATGGAAATCCTATGGAGGTCTGGATTTGGAGTTACACTCAAAATTAAAGTGGAAAAAAACACAACAGGCTGATCCAAATTTGATGTAATGTTTTTAAAACAAGTCAAAATGAGGCTCAGTAGTGTGTGTGGCCTCCACGTGTCTGCATGACCTCTCTACAATGCCTGGGCATGCTCCTGATGAGGTGGTGGATGGTCTCCTGAGGGATCTCCTCCCACACCTGGACTAAAGCATCCCCCAAGTCCTGGACAGTCTGTGGTGCAATGTGGTGTTGGTGGATGGAGCGAGACATGATGTCCCAGATCTGCTCAATTGGATTCAGGTCTGGGGAATGGGCAGGCCAGTCCATAGCATCAATGCCTTCATCTTGCAGGAACTACTGATACACTCCAGCCACATGAGGTCTAGCATTGTCGTGCATTAGGAGGAACCCAGGGCCAACCGCACCTGCATATGGTCTCACAAGGGGTCTGAGGATCTCCTCTCGGTACCTAATGGCAATCAGGCTACCTCTGGCGAGCACCTGGAGGGCTGTACAGCCCCCTAAAGAAATGCCACCCCAAACCATTACTGACCCACTGCCAAACCAGTCATGCTGGAGGATGTTGCAGGCAGCAGAACGTTCTCCACGGCATCTCCAGATCCTGTCACATCTGTCACATGTGCTCAGTGTGGACCTGCTTTCATCTGTGAAGAGCATAGGGCGCCAGTGGCGAATTTGCCAATCTTTATGTTCTCTGGCAAATGCCAAATGTCCTGGACGGTGTTGGGCTGTAAGCACAACCCCCACCTGTGGACGTCGGGCCCTCATACCACCCTCATGGAGTTTGTTTCTGACTGTTTGAGCAGCCACATGCACATTTGTGGCCCGCTGGAGGTCATTTTGCAGGGCTCTGGCAGTGCTCCTCCTGTCCCTCCTTGCACAAAGGTGGTCCTGATGCTGAGTTGTTGCCCTCCTACGGCCTCCTCCACGCCTCCTGATGTACTGGCCTGTCTTCTGGTAGCATCCCCATGCTCTGGACACTACGCTGACAGACACAGCAAACCTTCTTGCCACAGCTCGCATTGATGTGCCATCCTGGATGAGCTGCACTACCTGAGCCACTTGTGTGGGTTGTAGACTCCGTCTCATGCTATCACTAGAGTGACAGCACCTCTAGCATTCAAAAGTGACCAAACCATCAGCCAGAAAGCATAGGAACTGAGAAGTAGTCTGTGGTCACCACCTGCAGAACCACTCCTTTATTGGGGATGTCTTGCTAACTGCCCATGCTTTCCATCTGTTGTCTATTCCATTTGCACAACAGCATGTGAAATTGATTGTCAATCAGTGTTGCTACCTAAGTGAACAGTTTGATTTCACAGAAGTGTGATTGACTTGGAGTTACATTGTGTTATTTAAATGTTCCCTTTATTTTTTTTGAGTAGTTTAGTAATGAAGGCTTGATCAGGCTCAGTAAGATTCATAATGGGGTTAGATGTTGAGTCCAAGACTATATAGTTAAGTGTTATTACTCACTGCACATTGTTCACATAGTGTTCTTGATACCGCTTTCTGTTGGGTACCACTCGGGGATGGCTTCTGTAAGTGTAGGTTTCTGTAGATGCTCTTGCATCCTCCTGGTTGAGAACCACTGAGGTCATGCTGGGTCTAAGCTACCATAGGTTCCAAGAGAGATTACAAAGACTAAGTGGCATTGTGGAACAATCCACCCTGCCTACTATTGTTATGCAATGAGGAATTCCATCCCTAACAACAGTTGTTAAGGTAAACTGATCCCAGATCAGGAAGTAAGGGTGGTTCATTGGAATTATTTGAATGTTCCCAATATATATGTTTTCCTGAATAAAAGGAGCCAGAAGATATTCCATTCCAAAAGGATTTCACTAGACTTAGCCAGGTTGCGGTGCTTGTGGAATTCACATCATGTCTTGTGTAGCACCAAGGAATTATGACTTGCATCTAAACTAAGCTTCCAGGAATAGAAAATCATCTTTCATTCAGGGATAGCAGAGAAATGGGCAATGACTGCATCCTGATAACGGAAGGGGAGCCAACTGCGAAAGTTTCCAAACTTGGTAGAATTTTTCCTAGGTAGGAGGACAATCTCAGATAAAATTCCCAGCACCTCATAAGCTGATTTGGCTGTTGTAGCAATAGTATGATTCTTGTCCTTTCCACCTTCCTTTTATCTTTCAAAACCTTCAGATATTCTACTTAGATTTCTGATTTCTTTTAATCATAAAGGGCCGGAATGTTTCATAAGACACTCATTTTAAAGATCTGCTGCTTCTAATCTTTTTATTTACTATTTTCAAATGCTGTTTTTAATGAGCAAGCCTGCTTTGATGCTCTTACCAATTACGCAGAAGGGACAGGAAAAAATGAGATTATGCTACTGGTTGCATATAGATGATACACGACAGAAATACCACATCTTTTTTATGGTTACTTATGAGAATCTAACCACAAGATGTCACTTTTATCCTTCTTGCCGTAGTCATGTGCCTTGAACTACTTGCTTCAGATTGCAAGATAAGGAGAAGCAAACCACAGGGCGGATATTAAAGTTGCAAAACAGAAGCAGAAAAGTAAGGATTGAATGATTAACAAGAAAATCAGATTAATATGCAAAGCTTATCAATGATAAACATGGAATGAAAGCTCCCATTTTAAGTGGGAGGAAAAGTTTCAGTGATGTTATTTTTATTAAGATAGCATTTCTTTTAAATTAGATATAGGGAATCTTCCAGCCAAAATGGAAACAGCCCTTTGGAAAGCACAAGTGAGAGTAGAAGAGTTTGAACTATAATGATAGAAATGGAGAGTAAAGAGGAGAAACATCCCTTTGTAATTAATCGGTTCAATTCCTTGGGGGGGCAGGGGGAAAGGGACCAGAAAGATTCAGCAGCTAAAACAGGCAATGAAATAAAAGAAGGATGAGTTGGAGAAGAAGACCTTTGCAAGTAAATCATTCAAATCTACTGGTCAGGAAAAAAAATGGTGATGAGGGAGAAGAAGTAGAAATAGAGGAGATGGGGTTTAAGGATTATGGGGGAAAAAAAGAGAAGACAGGGTTAGAAGAAAGGGGAAGAAACAGAAGGAGTGGGAGAAAGGAAAAGTGATATCCTTATTCATCTTTGGCAACAGTCTTGGTCACCAATGCTGTGCTGTCTCTTGACAATAGATCCCTCAAAGCATTCAACCCTCAACCACAAGAGTGATAACAATATTTACCACAGCCTGTATCCAGTTTCTCTTGTTTTGTGCCTGCAAAAGCATCCTAGAATGGGTAGGGCTTCAAATTTCTATTTGTATTTTTGATGGGTGGGGGGTGGGAGTGGGAGTAATAGGGCAAAAGAGGGAGAAATTTAAGGCAATTTCAAAATCTTTTTCAGCTCTCACTTCTCTAAAATGGGGTGCCACCCCTGCGTATATTTGATCATATGATACAACAGTATGGTGGATTTCTCAGTCCATCGAAATGTGTGTTCTTGCACAAAAGGTGCTGCTGCATCTTGAAGACTTCAGACAGGAATTTCTGCCATCCATGTCTTCAGCAATACAGCCTGCTACCGGGACACTGAAGGCTAAGAAATAGTGCTGGGCTTAGGTGGCTATGAATTCATCATGTTGATCTGAACTGTATTTCTGGACTGTACGGTTCTAGCTGGGTGTATTACATATGTGGACTTTTATAATCAGTTTGGACAGCTTTTCTCCAAAGTTGGAAGGGACCTTAGTGGTCCCCTAGTCCAATCCCCTGCTCGAGCAGGAGAGGCTATTCAGGGGTGGGATTCAAATTTTTAACAACATATTGTTGTAGAGGACAACTTTAATGTATTCACAGAAACAAAAAAAAACCCACCAGAATTGATTGTACCCAACCTGATAGGAATTGTGAGTCATATCATTGAACTTTAACTGTTTGCCTTAAGTCTCAGAAAAACATGGGGAAAGTCTCGAGATCTGTGAATAGATGGAAGCACTGAGTCATTTTTCTAGAATATAATGGTTGTCATACAGTCACAACAAAACAGGCAAAGAAAATATCTGCTGAGGAACCTAGAAACTTGCACCAAAAATGGGGATAGAAATGGCCTGGTAAATAGAAACTGTCATGTTCTTTGACACTTTAGGGACTTAGATGAAAAACATCTAGATTTTAATCTTAGTAAGATTAAGAACGCAAGTTCCAATTGAGAGATAAATGCTGACTGTGAATTTGGAAAAAATCCACCAGCAATAGAAAACAATCTGTCTTTGATGTTTTAGTTTCCATGTTAATGATTTCCTTTGTACGGAACATAAACAGATGTGATTTCCAATACCAATACCAATTCTTCTACACATTTTTAAATGAAGTACTCATCCCCAAATAACCTATTCTCAGATTTGACTAGTTCAGCATTCTGTTCAAATTCAACCTCTTAGTAGTCCAGCCAGATTCCATGGATGCAAATCCTAGGGGCCAATGCCTCTCATCAGTTTGGGGCCAATTACACCTTATCGACTTACTCAGCCTGATGTCTTCAAAAGAACTCCAATAAAGTTCATACATATAGCTGATCTTTGGAGAGATATGTTTACTGGAGAACCATTCACTTTTGTTTAATCACCAAGGATGATTGAACAGAAAGTGCCTTGTGAGTTTTCCACAACTGGCCCTGTGGAAATGTTGATACTGGGAATGTGGGGAGATGTGCAAGAGTTTTATGCAAGCTGTATCTGGGCTTGCCCATTGGCTCATATCGTTCAACTGAAAAGAGGAAGACCAAGAAGAAGAATATGTCTTGCTCCTTTTGAAAATATTCACTTTTGTATTCTTAAGCATCTATGTAAAATGATCTGATGGTCACAGGGTCTGTGATCAAGCAATCACCCCAGCTAAAATCCTCATGGTTCATCATAAGCAGGACTGGAGTTGCTTGCTGGGGCAGGGAGATGGAACAGAATCCATAGCATTAGTGTCTGGGCTAAATAATTTATATCGCTGTTTCAGTGGTGGGTCAGTGATATTCAGGAGAAACCCTAGCTGTGATCTCTGGCTGGGCTCGCCCACCCATCCTTGTCCTATGCTTTCTCTAAACAACTAACTTTTCCCCTGCCCAGGCTGCCCAGGTGAGTTCTGCGCCATTCCTGCTGTACTCATCAGAGCTACCTGAGTTGATTAGCTGCCTGTTTGAAGCTGCATTTCAGCCGCAAACAAAGGGATGTGAACCCCTTGTCAATGAAAGTGCAGCCCACCTGTGGGCTGTTTGTGGGACAGATCAGGAAAGTAAGGATCTTAGGAGGTTGCAGACCCATTACCGTCACCCAACCTTCAGGCAGGTCCTTGATAGGCCCTGTTTTGTTCCTAATATTTCTGCCATTATTGGGTAAAACCTAGCCTCTGGCAACGTGCAAGTTGATGTTCTGTTAGATACCTTTGAGGTGGAACAGGTCTTTATCTGGCTCGTCATTCGCTACTCTGGCAAGTATAGAATTGTTTTCTAGGAGTCAATGCAGACATTGTTGGGAAAAGACCAAATTTAGATTTTTTAAAATAACCACATTGCTGGAAATATACGGAGGGATGTTAGATCACAGGGATATCTCAGTTTATCTCTGTTTTGCTTTACAGAGACACATCCCTGAATACCCAGGCTGGCCATGTACCAGTGTGGTTCTGAGTGAAACTTTAAGAGACCGTTTTAAAGAAGCTACCTGACTATTCTTGGGATATTAGCCTTAGCCTTCTTTGATACACTTTGAGTTAATATTAAGAGTGTCAATGGCTGGAATCACATAGCATACTAAGCATTTATTTTAATCACTTTTTCTTGAATAAGCCACAGTGCTGGATTTGGCTATTCTACTAAACCATAATCCCTGGTTAATGGTTGGGTTCACACACTCCATCTAAGTCAGACAAATAAACCACATTATGGCATTATGCAATGAGTAATTTTTATAGTTGTTTGATGAATCATAATAAACATATGTTATGTTCAGCTCCTGGAATTATGGGGAAATGTCAACCTATACAATGTTGATCTGCATGGATATTCTGTCAGGTCTCTTTAATTTTGCATTTTTTCCCCAGATGAGTTACAATAGCATCTTTCTGAAGTCCCAGACTACACAGCTGAGATTTGCCATTTCAACACATCCAAAGCGCATGAAGTTGGGGAAGACTAAAATAATTTCAAAAAGCTTTTTTATACATTCAGACTATTTCTCTTTTGTTCACTCTGGTCCGAGTGAACAAAACAGAACAAAACAGAAACTCTCGCTGTTTCTACTGCAAGAACCATTTCATAACACTGAGGTTTAGTTCAGTTGGAAATCCTTTCCAAATAGGAAGTGGTGGTGGAAGAAACTATCACTTGAGAAATGCAAAACTAGACAAAGCAGCAGAGCCAAGTCTGTTGCAAAGCACACTTTTGCTCAGTCATATGATAGAGATTGGCTCAAGATCTCTACAGCATTTCCCCTTATCTTCTGCTTCTCTGTTTCTGTTTATATTGGATCCCTGTCTAGACTACTTTCAGAAAAAGGAGAAGCCATTAATGCAGGGGTTTACTATAAGAATAAAGCTACTTGATCTATTCTATGGGTTTGTACTTTTAACATTCATGGGAATAGCCAAACCCAGATTAGGACATAATTATTTTGTACAAAATGGGCCGAAGAGCAAAACACATTACACTGGATACTAGACACAATACAATTTTATGGAAAATTGGATTTATATCTGCTTAGGCAATAATGTTTGGCAAAAGTCTTGTTTCCATGCCTGGCATAAAATGTATACATTTGTACTGAAATGAGACAATTAAGTTTAAACATAGGATTCTTTTGCATGTTGTAAGTGCTCAAAAGTTATCTGATTGTTCTGTAGCGTCACATATTCTTGCTTATTCTTTTGATATGACCCAGACATGGTCCTGAGACGGTACACTTGAGGGGTCAAAGGCAAATTTACCCGTGAATGAATTCCAATAACAAAATCCACAACTGGTGTTTTGTCCTGGGTGTCGTTCATCAAAGAGAATCTGTCATTTGCTTTGTTTGTGATCTCTTTCTTGAGCCTCAGACATTGAGATGCAGAATCCTGAGGAACCTTGGTGGGCCTCAGAGGATGAGCTCTCAAATTGTTGTGTGATGGAAATCTAACAGCAGAAAAGTGTTTGGTTGCCTCTTCGTAGGAAGGAGGCCTTCTAGGTTTATTTTGATCTAAACATTGAAACACTTCAACTGCTGACATAAAACGGGGTCTTAGTGGAAAGCCTGAAGGTTCTGGACTGGGAACAGCCTCATGAGCTGCTTGAATGATTTGACAGGAAAGTGGTCTTTCTTTTCTGGAACCCTTTTTGAAACTGCCTTTTTGACTGTCCGTTTTGGCCAGCATCTTCTTGCGAGTTGCCACAGAAAATGACATGGAGTGCTTCTTGAGCTCTGAGACAGCTCTGTCCCTTCCATTTGAAATTTTGGCAGAGAAGGACTGTGGCCGCGTCAAGACATTGTTCTTGAAAATGGCAGGTGACGAGAGTGGTGAACTAGTGAATACAGAAGAATCCGAGATAGAGGAAGCACTGTCTAGTGAACTGGAAGAAGATGTGCTGAGTAAGGAATCACTTGATAATTCTGCAGGGAGGTTGGCTTTGATTCTGAGATCTGATGGCTTTTTGTTCCTGTAGTGACAGGAAGGATGGGATTCTTCAACTGTCTGCATTCTCATTCTCAGCTCTCTATCCTTCAGTCCCAATTCCTTCTGCAGAATAAAATTCTCCTCACTTTTGGAAAGTTTTGGAAGTTTCACACAGCCTTTCTGGCAATTCTTGGAAGACTGCAAGTCTGGTTCTGAGGACCTCCTCTCAAGTTTCTTCATCATTTTAAAATGAGCCAGGGAGAAGGCAGAAGGGATCTGGGTTCGTGGCTGTTTGGGGTACAATTCTGTACTGCTTGGTCTGCTAGTGTGGGATAAGCCACTGGGCTGAAGGTCACTGAGACTGCATTCCCCTTCAAGGTCTGTGCTGTCATAAGCAGAATCATGATGCTGTTTTGGTGATGATGTTTCTGGCGGAAAGAAAGGAAATGTTGAGACTAATGTTGGACAGAACCAGCCTTAGAAATATGTCAGTCTGCACTAAATGCTATAAAGTATGTGTACATCACGAGCAACTGAGGAATAAATGCTTCCTACCCAACATAGTGAAAAGGATTTAAAAAAAAATATTTTAAGGGTACAAAATATAGGGAAAAGATCAAGTTCCATAAAAATAATAAAGCTAAACTGAACAGTCCATAAAAATGATAAAAAAGAAAAACAAAACAAAAAGAGGAACAAGAAAATTGAACCATGTTTATATTAAACTTCAATAGTCACTGGTTTACCAAAAATAACTTAAAATGCTATATTATAATTCGATATCCACAAATTGGATCCAGTCTCTCTGATAAATCTCCCCAAAACTTTACATATATTATTTATATTTCTCTTCCCTGGTTTGAAAGGAACCTCAATGATAGGTGACTCTCTTATGAAACTCTAAGATACACTGTGGTTAACATTTAGAAATGGTTTACTGTTGTTACTGGTTGGTTGCCACTTCCTTAACAACCAGAATCAAACATGGTTAAACAGCACTTTCAATGAAATCTAAGCACATTGAGAGAAAAATGATTGGCCAGACTCTATCTTAAATATACACTTGAAAGATATACAAAATCAGGGTACCTGTCATATCCAGGGAATTATCGGTATTCCTAGACAACAGTGAGTAGATTTCTTCTCCAAATATATCCGAACAATTATTAATGAGGAATTCCACCAGTGCCTTCACCTATGCAAGCCAAACAAAGAATGTAAATTAGAAATTAAGTTGGAGTCATTTCAACATTATTAGTGGAATCTATATGTTAAGAATATTTTGATAGGAAATCCACATGTAAATTCCAGCCTTGAAGACTACTAGGAGAAAAACAACATATAGAATTCTTGTCTTTTAAATCCTGCCTTGTTTTCCAGTAAGAATAAAACACTTCTGAGATAACCCCCACTGCCATTGTTTGTTTGTTTATGTGGGCCTGTTAACCTCTTCATTTGAACCTATGGAAGCTTATCTTCCATGGGAATAACTTTTGCAATTGTGTTGTTGTGGCTTTAGCTGGTTGCATAATTCCCAATGCTTATGCCCTGATGCTAGAACTAGCTTCTTCCACAGAACCACAATTGAAAGACTCCTAATGATCGCATGTTTTAAAAACCAACCCAAAAGCTGTACTTTCCAGTCAAGAGGATCTGATGTCTGCAATCAAAATGTTGAGGAGTTTCTTAACCAGCTATTGAAGATAATTATAAATAGCTTATGAGCTCTTGGTTCAGAATGGGGAACTTTTGCTTTGAGTTTTGGAGAGTTATATTTCCTTGACAGCGATGTATGTTTGGGGTAAGGCAGCAAACTTGAAGCCAACCGTGGATGTGACCTGGACCATCCTCCTTTTCCCCATAAGATTGTTTACTTTCTCTTCCTCTCCTCCAGTCTTATCCAACATAAGGTTGTATGAAGATCTTGAACACACTTTGACTCTATAGAGATACCCAATTCCATTTGTTGGAGTGATTGTCTTTAAGGTGCTACCTTTGACCCAGAGAAAGCAGTCTCTAAGTGACTTCTGCCTTATGCAAATGAAGATGCAGGAAGTTGAAGGCTAGCAAAGCATCAATTCGAAGAAATACCTTGCTCTGCTTTGCTACCTTGCAATGGGACACAGCTACTTAATACCACATCAGAGGGGCACTTTTATTGAAGGATGAATCAGAGAAGTGCCCCTTTAAGGCTTCCCATAATTGTTCCCTCTAATGTTACATCCTCAAACCCCCCAAACTTTAACCTTAAACTGTCTACTGTGGACCTCACTCCATTCCTAAGAGGTCTGTAAGGGGGAGTGCATAAGCGCACCAGTGTGCCTACTGTCCCTATCCTACTCTTCCCATTTATTCGTAATAATTATATATATATGTGTGTGTGTGTGTGTGTGTGTGTGTGTGTGTGTGTACTTATTTATTTATTTATTTATTTATTTATTTATTTATGGTATTCAGCTTTGTTC